TGCACGACACACACACACGCACAGCATGCACACACACAGTCAGCATGCACACACACACAATCAGCATGCACACACACACACACAGCATGCACACACACACAGTCAGCATGCACACACACACACAGACAGCATGCACAGCACACACACGGTCGGTATGCACAACACACACACAGCATGCACAGCACACACACATTTAGCATGCACAGCACACACACAGTCGGCATGCATAGCACACACACATTCACCATGCATAGCACACACACACTCACCATGCATAGCACACACATACACAGTCGGCATGCACAGCACACACACATTCACCATGCATATCACACACACACACATTCACCATGCATATCACACACACACACATTCACCATGCAGAGCACACACACATTCACCATGCATAGCACACACACATTCACCATGCATAGCATACACACACTTTCACACAGAGCAGTCAGCAATTCCTTTACAACCGCTTCGAACAAATGAAAAGTAAGCACAGAAACACGACGGTGTTTGTAAGTAGGACAGCCCCCACCTCCCACAGCGTCTGTGCCCCATGCTCTCAGGCCAAGTCATCTGTCCTCAAATGAACAAAAACTCAACACATTTGTCAATAACACTACCTTCAAGTGCAAACACAATGTATATAAAGCGACAATGCTTGTGCATCACGGTTCCACCAAATAATATATCCTCAGATTAGAATCAGAATATTTATTTAATACTGGAGGAATCCGATGAGCTGTAAAGATCGTTTTCGCAGATGTTACAGTAGATCGGCTTTTGCTGCTGGTCAGACCTCTTAACATACTGCAGCATCTATCAATTAGTTAGATATCAAGGTGGCTGCGAGTAATATCCCTTCGTAGGCATTGGCCTTCTGTGAGCACTCTCCTTTTCTCCCGATTGCCGAACACACAGTCATGGAATTGACCAAGCATCCTGGGTAAAGGGCATGCGTGTGTCTTTTAGGTTAACTGTCTTTTAGGTTAATTTATACTAAACTGATACTAAACTTGCTGTACAGGTCCATAACAAGGATACGCGTTCTGCTATAAATTTCAAGAAATATTTTATACACCTCAAGCAGGTGTACAAATGCATGGTAGCCAAAAGCTGGGCAGGTGGCTGAGCAGGAGAGTGGTTGGCTCGCAATTATAAGGTCGCACTCAGTACACAGAACGTGCTTGCCACAAATGAACCACCAATACCTTGCTGATCATACCAAGGAGCATAAACCACCTTCATACAAACTCCGGTCATCCCCGCAGCCGCTATTGGCTAGCCATCGCGCGCTTTCAGATGCGCTTCTGCGGCCGTCTGGAACGCTCTTCCTTCAGATATTCGGAAGCCACTGGAGCTATGCACTTTGAAATCATCTGGATTGAAAACTCATCTATTTAGAACAGCTTTTTGTGTTTAGTTTGTTGTCCTTCCCCCGCACCTCCGATTAGCGCGGTCGGCTACGTACGGTGTGAAAGAAGTTGAATGTATGTCGAACTTCTTTCCAACCGTACGTGGGCAATCGTGCTAATCGGAGGTGTAGGGGAAGCACAACATACATACAAACAATTGAAATGACGCGAGTTAACATACTGGTTGGGGTTCACTCAACCCATCATCCTTTCAGGGAGATTAAAATTAGTACCACCTTTAGAGGAAGTCAACAGTTGGCTTACCTCCACCATGGGAATGTGGAATTTCCACCACTGGTGGAGGGCTTTCAATAATCGATTAGCAATGCCTCTAAGCTCATTTGAGGAAGAAATCACTTTTGACTATTGCCATGCAGAGCGAATTTCACGAAGGAATTATTTTTCGCGGTGATATGCTCTCCAATTTTTATTGAGCTCGAGCTCCATGACGAATCCCTGAGCCGAATACAAAAGCAATAACCATTCTCCCGGTATAGGAATATCGCTAAGCCCTCACTCATGGTGCAGCGTCGCCTTAAATGGAAGGTATTAGCCATGCTATTAGGGGCTTTATGATATGCGCGCAGTGTAAAATCCTCAATTACGAGTGACACACATATTATACACACACGCGCACGCACGCACGCACGCGCGCGCTGCCAATCCAATGCGGTCCCCATCTCCTCTGCTGCCGCCCATCCTCCCCTGGTGCCTTTGTGCACGGTGCGCAATCAACAGCCGACGGCGGCTGACGGCGCAGCAGGCACGCGCATCGCGCCGTGGGCAAGCTCCCGCCGGCGGCAGCAGCATCGGCATCGGCCGGGCGCTCCCGCTCGCTCGCTGCATCCATCTTCTTTAGCAGGAAATTGTTGAAAATGATTTTGCGGTAAAGGCCAAGGTATATCGGTGCGCGAGCGTGCGCAGCAAATATTCCTCACCACCCCCGTCCGTCCGTCCGTCCCGTGTGTTCCGTACGCGCGTGTGGGGGCTGTGGGGAGGGAGCATTTCTTGACCGAGCTGCTTTTTTTTCCCACGCTCCCCAGATAATCGTCCGTATGCCAGTTGTTGCCCTGTGGATATTTGGCGACCACAAACAATATACGAGAAAAGCAACATATGCTCATCGCAGACCTCGCAATAAAGCCGAAGCAAGCTTTGTTTGCAGAAATGTACAAGAAAAGATAAAGGTACAGCACTTGCCTTTTCTTGAACAGCTCATCGCTGGTAGAATGGTCTCCATTGGAGGGAGCTCGTGGCATTTGGCCCACTGTTCCATGCTGGCTAAATGTCTTGAAGGATATGGGAATAGCCACGCTTCAACCCCATAATGTGATCTGCTCATCGACACACTAACTGTGCGTGTACACGTTTATACGGCTGGATGGACAGAGGCAGTCGGGGTTGGTGGGGATTTAAGAAATGTCCACTGTTGTTTCAATCGTCGCGCCTTGACAGATCGAACCGGAGACTCCTGGATGCAGCTTCCTACTTTCTCAAAAACGGTTGTACATTGTATGGTACTGTCTGTTATCCAGATTGGGTAAATGCCATGCCATGGCTTTTCCGAACAATTTCGAGTGCAGAGACAAAGCCGTGGTGCGATGCCACAACGCGCGAACCTTCATTGTCAGACGCGTTGAAAGAGAAAGACATAAGAAACAGTTCTGTTGTTGATGCCGGCTCACCGACTCGACGATGCCCTCCCCGCTCGTCTGTGATGCCTTCGCCCGCCTCTGTCGCTGTTTCTCGCCCAGAGCAAAGCGAACACAGTGCGCACGTTGCAAATGTAAATTGTTACGACTACGTTATTTCAAATGTTTCCACCTTATTTTGTTTTGCTGCCCACACGCGAACGTATCAATCGTATCAATTGAAGGAGGATTAGAACTCACCAAAGGTGCCTGATTAAAACAGAGAAGATGAAAGGCTAATCCTTTCTTCGATGTCACCGCCAGATTGCCCGCAATATAAGGGCACGTTTTAAGGTTCATTTCGCTCAGTGCTACAGAAACCTGCATGCCTGTTCAGCACTCACATGAAGCAAAGAGATATGTGTCCAGTCTACACCCTCCCCCACCCCCCGATTTGTTTTAAAAATTATAGTGCTGCACGATGCTTCGACACTTGTGATGCCCGTAATCTCGCAGCAAACATTCCCACAGCTGCATTAATATCAGGAGGCGATACTGGAGTCACTGTTCTAAATATTCAACTGTTATGACTTCATAGCAGGCAACCGAGAGCACAGCGGATTCTGATTCTGAGCTGGACAGCCTGAGTCGAACATCTGACCACGGCTTGTGTCAGTGGTGAGTGATATCTGACCCGGTTCTAGTCCTGGTCCATCTCAATTCCACCCCAATTCATCAACCTGCACTGACTAGTGTAGTGCAGTTTGGTCAATCAATCCAGCGGTGGATTGACAAAGATACATCCGTGAACAAATACGTTGGCGATCCTGCGTTGGCGGTGATGCACAAGGTGAAATAACAGCAGTCTCAACATATTCGTCAATAACACTGCCTTAAAGGAAAACTATTATTTCTATTCGGCGACATATCAGACAGTGGTCGTCTGTGATATGTTCTGAAGAAGGGTCATTGCTCAGAACGTAGCCTAGTTTATTTAGTTATTATTAAACTTTAAAATGAGGTGAACCGCACTCTCCTATGAACCCAGCAGCCTCAGTTCAATTCCTGACCATGGCTAACAATGAGGAGGTATAAATCCTGCAGTGGATTGATAGTGGGCTGTAAGTAATTTAATTATATGTAAAGGTTTCAATAGGCTTCTAGATGTGTCCATCATCATCATCATGTAATTGATATAAACTTCATATCCTACATTTTACTATATTAAGTAAACATTAAATACTCCTGCCCAGTGCATACACACAATGTATACACGTAAACGCGATATACACGAGGAGGTTGTTCATATTTCAAAAACTCACGAATAAGACCACCTATTAGTTACATTTCCTACATACTGCATAGACGTAAACAATAACATGAGGAAATTGCTGCCTTTCTGGAGTGCATGCATAGGAAGTGACAACGAGAAGAGAGAATTGAAAGAGGGAGACACACGGCTGTGGATTTGTTTTTTTAGCATAAACCCTTGCATGCATCATGTCCACAGTGGTGGATAGTGATGATTCACATGATCAAGGATGAGGCCAAATGGAGCAGCCCTCTAATTATTTGCTCGCGCCGCTGCTGGTGGTTGTACCCAGCAACACGCGGGAGTTCTCGAGAGCCCCTTCTCAAGGCAGTTTGGCCTACTCTTCCACTTTGGCCCGCCACCCGCACTGCAAGCTGCCCGACTGCCTGTGTGTGTAGCCCAGTTATGCCGCTGCGTGGACAGAGGCAGGGAGGTATTGAATAAACGTTCACCGGTTTTTTTTGGGGGCGACTGCTGGATTGCGAGTCCAGTGTGCTGCCAACCATTCCACCGTGGCAGTATGTACGCGTGTTGAATTTCTTTCGCGCCGTACACAGCCAACTGTGCTAATCAAGTATTCCTTGATTCATATGACTTCAAACAAAATAATACGATAGTGTTTTTTTTTTTTTGGCGGGGGGGGGGGGGGGTGTCCACTGACTTGTAAAATCACGTTTCTTTAAATTATCTTTCTCTTGCAATAATTCATGCACGAGAGGGGGTTACAAGCTAGAGGAACAGATTCTCCTCATCCAGCCCCCCCCCCTGCCACCTCTTGATGTGGCTTCACTCATTTGGCGTCGCCGGATCGTGGCCAACAGTGAGGCGCTGTGCAGGGGGGGGGGGGAGTAGGGGGGGGGGCGCCTTGGTTCTGACGTAACCCCAGCATGGATTGGGCGGTCGAGCGAGCGAGCTGCCTGCGGAACTATAGCAGAGGGCTCGCGACTGGACCTTTCTATGGTGGGATTCGATTTGAAACAGTAATAGACCGCTCTCCACCCCCATGGGACCGTGCTGCTGGGCTGGGCAGATAAGGCCCTATTCCAATGCCAATTGGTATATCAAATGTACGAGAGACAAAGTTTGGACCAGAAGGCTTTCATGGGCTCCTGATACCGGCGTCAATGTTGACGGAAATGCATTTCTCTTCCTCTCTGGCGTTAGTTTAAATTCTCGTTCGTTATTTCGTCGCTTGACCGTGCGCTGCGCTGACGCGGCGAGCGGTAAACAAAGCGCCATAGAAACACATTTTACAATGAGAGGATAAAACATCGACCCCCTGTTTTTTACCTTCCTTTATTTATATTTTCAACAACGCAAACAGAGAGAAACAGAACCAGGGCAGATGCGTAACAACCCTTGAATGGGCAACGGTACATACCCTCTAGTTAAAGGTTATAGGAAGTACACGCATACATTCGAGTGCATATACATGTGCGCAAATCCACACGCTGTATGAGCACTTTGCTAGAACATTTACAGAGCACAATATACGTTCAATAATTGGCATTGTATTGATATCATAATAAATAATAATGACAGCCACTGTCAATCCACTATCAGATGGAGACAATCCCCGTGCTTTGTCAGTCGTGAGATTGTGACCATACTTCACCACGCTGGCCTCTGTGGGTTGGTGCAAGGGGTGGTGATGCAGGAGGGGGTGGTCCAGCACTGGTTACAATTTGGGAGTCGTGAGGTCGCCGGGTTCAGAACACGGTGCACTAACCGCTGTGCCACCGATCCCGTCGTTGCATTTTAATTACACCAATTATGTAAAATATGGATTTTTACACCGCAGTTCAATTGCACAATTATGTAAAGTTGTTTGTGTTAAGCAACACTATATGCAACGATCGCAAGCTTTTCGAAAATCAATGCGGCAAAAGGATGTGTAGTTTAACATCTGTCGACTGGGTTCTAAATGTCCCCGTTATAAACACACGCCCAGATGTGTGCAGGGAAAAGGGCACGCGCGGTGCTTATAAACTCGGTCCGTATTGGTGCTTTAAATATTAACAGGCACGCGTGTGCCTAATGCTCAATAACTGCATGGGCAAACCCCCTGGAAACATTACAGGAACACATTATTGGGCTTTCCTCGGAGGAAACTGCCGTTCCACAAACCCCACCAACTCCTTAATGAACCTAAAGCGTGCACATCATTTGGCTCGAAAGCCTAAGCCCGTGGGACTTAGCAACGGCCTTCCTTTGTGAGCTGTGATGGCTCCGGATGATGTTACCAGATGTTCGCATTGTCACCGATAAGCGCAGTCGCGCAAGGAATATCCAAAGACTGGCGCCGTCGTGGTTTAACAGGCGGTGTGCAGTCCGTATATTCACTCCCGACAGCAGTCTGTCTTATCCATTCACCTGCAGAGAGCAAATGGCTTTTTTTAATCAACCGCTAAAATGACCGCTGCAGGTACATTCACAATGACCGCTGCATTGACAAATCAACCGGGATTGCATCCGATCTTGTAATAATAACAATAATTTTAACTTGTAACGGACACAGGATTCACCCACTCTGGAAGAGACAACGACCAAAGCGGAACGAGGAACTACGGACAGTGGGAAAGGCAGCCATGCACTGAGCCAGCAACACATTCTCCCACAAACTCCGCGGTCCTCTACAGATTCAGGTGTTGATGGTCACTTCACGAGTGTTTACATGCGGGAGGAAAACCAGGACGCCTGGAGAAAAACCCACGCATGCGATGGGGGCAAGATTCGATCACGTCGAGATGGAACAGATGATGTCCACATTTGCGGTACCGCATTCTCCTGGCAAGCCAGTGTATGTTACCTCCTCGACGCCTACGGGAAAGGAGTTTCCACAACGTCTGTATTGTGATCTACCAACCCTCGCTGCCTCCACAGGGCTGGATGACAGGCATGCGCCACCACCGCCTCGGAAGCTAAGCAGGCTCGAGGCTGGACAGTTGAGGGCAGTGCATTGACATTCATGATTTTACCGTACTGTGCTCCGTGCCCCGCGAATCAAATCAGTGCTAAACCCAGCAAATCTAAGTTTAATTCCAGGCCATTGCTAACATCAATCACAAATTACATTAGAGGCATGTTGGGCCCTAACGTTGACCGCCCAGCGACTGAGCGGTGTGGTGAAGTACGGTCAATAGACTGACACGTACCGCGCCGCGTGGCGAGGCCCTCATCCAGCAGTGGATTGACAAATAGGACGCGAAGTGCACACGGCGTATGCATGCACACATTTGCAATGGTTTATTTGACACGGGGACGATTAACATAAAGGTTGAAGATACTTCATTGGAATAAAAGTGTACAGGTAATAATTACAGTCTGCCTTCTGCGGTTGTAATGGCCCATCTTCTCTCTTACGGGCTATAAGTTAGCAGGCAGATTTATATCTGCCATTAAACTTTTAATTACACTTCATTTAATTTGGAAACGCTCTTCAGTACATAAATGCATATATTGTACGATGTGCATAGTGGCTCGCCGAGTTAATTTGGCGCGACCCCTTTGATTTTTTTTTAAACCACCCTTTAATATATTCATTTCATTAGGGCCATTTGCTGTTGTTGCACACACGACTCGTGTTTGATGGTAATTCGCCCTCCGCTCTGCCTCCCCGCAGCCGCCAAACGAGTCTTGATGAGGAGGGGACTAGGAAGCGAAAGGGCACGTCTACAGGGGGAGCCGCGGGGATATTTGCTAACATTTGTGGAATACTTATCAGTCGCGTGCAAATGCCGAAGCTGAAATATAAATACTGGAAGCAATAAAACATCTGAGTTATATCTCACTGGATATTTTCCTGGGTAGCTGGTAGATGGGAGTATGCATGAGCTAAGTAGCCATAGCCATGGCAAGATACATGCTCTATGTGGCGTGCTGGGTGCAGAAATATTTTCTCGGTTGATGAACCAGACCTGGCTCAAATGAAGCCCTGGTTAGTAAGATGTCTCAGCGTAGGACGTGAGTATTTTCTATAATCCTTGTGTTACCTCTCTCCGTCTCTCAATGTAATCCCAAGCATGCATCATCTGGTTACAGCTGTGTGCAGTATGCAGAACCTTTCACAGCAATTCGCTCCTAGACACTTCAGGTCAGATTTGCATCTTTATGGAATGGCAAAAACACATCACATTGGCGATTTCCTTTACAAGGGTTTTGAAGACTAAAACAATTGCCTTTGATGTAATTCTCGCCTTGTAAATTGGTAGGTGGTAAAAGGGTTGAAAAACTGCCAGCCTATCGTTTAAATGGGTAGGGTCTGTGATTGAGACATTGGCCACATTTAGACCAAAATTCAGATGAAAAGCAATAACCGTCAACTTGTGAATTCTCACGCCATGGAAATAAACACACTGCCGTCGTCGCATATATAAGATTTGCTCGCTTTGTGCGGTAGATGTATTCCAAAAGACGGTGTGTAAAGCAAAGCTGCATGAGACAGCTACCTCCCAAGTAGTGCATACAGCACATGCAATGTTTTCCCACGTCTGACCACATAGCCGTATATGAGTGAGTTCCAACCACACAGGGCGAATTTTGGGAAGAAATATGTTAGCCGCATACAAGGGAAACCAAATTGCATGAAGTGAGGAATACTTATATGTTTGTAAAAACAACTCTATGGGATTTATCCTATTAATGATTCATATATATATTTCATACATTTGCATATTGTACACATCAACACATTTACAAACGTAGGCTTGCGTGTTCACATTTTTTGTCACGTGGTATTTCTACAAAAAGCATGAGCACGTTTGCTCAGAGCTAAATTAGCAGGCAGCTAAGCATTGGATAATTAATTGATTTTCATTTTTAAAAAAAATTAACGATGACACTCGCTATGCATGCATCAAAATGTGACTAAAAAAATCCATTATATTTGATTCATACATGTTGTATTTTATTAGTTCATGTTTACCCTGCAGCCACTAGAGCCTTGACATGCAATAATAATAATAATACAAATGTAAATGCTTAAGGAGGGAGAAAGACGCAGAGGCTCGAGGAGGCGCAGAGAAGCAGGAAGGCAGTCAAGGCTGCGAGCCACCAACAACTGTCCAAGCTCTGGAGTCCTCTAATTATTCAGATATTATCAGCAAATTCATGAGTTTGCATGTGAGAGGAAACCGGAAGTGCCTAAAGAAACCCCATACGTTCGAGGGTGCAACACTGCATCTCACAGAAATGGAAGAGACGGAGTCCACAATTGCTGGACTGCCTTCTCCTGACAAGCTAGGGTATGCCACCTATGGTAAGGGGAGTTTCGCAACACGTGTGTGATCCATCAACCCTCGCCGCCACATTGCTAGGTTACAGGCATAGCCACCACTGCCCAGCGTTATCATCAACCATGGTCCATTCACTGCTGGACGAAGGCTTTGGCGCACTGCCACCATCGCTCGCGACCACTCCACCTTGCACCTGCACGCACGTTTATTTCATCAATACATCTTCCCCAGAGGACGTCTGCTTGGAAACGTAACATGCCTTGGCTCTCGCTGTCATTAGTCTTGATCCTCCCACCATCCCTTCTAATATCGTGTCCTGCCAAAGCCCACTTATTTTTCACAAACAGTTTGAACGATGTCATTAAACTGGGAATAGTCTCTGGTCCACGTGTTCCTCCTCCTTTCTCTCAATGAATTCCCTACATGCCAATTAATTAGTGCCTCTAGATAAAGGTACACCCCTGCAATGTCTTACTGACACTACTGCTCGGGGTAGGGCCTCCACTAGAGAGAGCTCTAGAGATCCCCTCTAGAAGGTATTTGCCGACCCTTCCACGCTGACCAGACGTCTTGGTAGAGGTGGGAGTATCCATGCCCTATCCAAGCACAGGCGACTTGCTGATGAACCACCGTGTACCCCATTCACGCTGTTGGTACTTGTGTTCAGGTAGCAGGGATTGCTTCGTAGCAAGATCTGATACCGGTACTGTGTTGGTGGTAACGTCATGACGCTATACTACGCAGGCTGATAGACCCAGCGCTGAGTGCGAACTCTGCCCTGGCTCGTGGAATCGCGTCGCTGCTCTACATGGGGGGGGATTTAAGAAACCGGCCCCGACGTTTCCACTGCCGTGCCGGGAAACTCGAACCGGCGACCCGAACTGCAAGTCGAGTGGGCTCACAATGACACCCACGGGTAGCATTGCTATTAATTAGCCAAGGTTGAAAAATAAAACACACGTTGAATTATTTAAGGTCAGATTGTACAAATGACACTGAAGTGAGTCACATACGTAGGCGGTGGGAGTGTGTTCCTAAAGGCTAATATATTAAAAAAAAAGCAAACACGGTGCTTCCAGCGCAGACCAGACACCGTGGGAGGCACGTCACGGGATCCGCAGGCGATGGGAGTCACCCGAGGAGAGCGATCGTGATGGCCTATAGGAGGGGTGAGGAAGGTTGACAAGAAACACAGGGAAAGGCCTGCTGCGTGATGGAAATGGGAGAATCAAGATTTTTTTTTTTTAATTTGAATCTCTGCGACTGCAGGCAGGCGAGTGGAGGCTGTACACGAGCTGTTTCCAGACCAGTGCTATGCAGCTCGTGGTGGTGATTTCTAAGGTAAATGCCCTGTGGCTTGGTGAGAGATGGTGTGTGCATTACAATGATCTAGCTACAATCTTCTCATCACAAGCTTGATTTTGGGGGCCAGAGAACAAGAGGCAAGACGCTCTGAACTGTTTATTTTCCTTTCACTACAGACATATACTGTGTTAAGTCACCAATTTTTATCATCTCCATTGGCAGCCAGGAAAACAAATCTACATTCCAATATACATACCAGTCTCTCCATAGCATGATCTGTCATGATGATTATCATTATTTTCAGCCACTGTCCATCCACTGCTAGATGAAGCCGTTCAGCCACACTGTGCCCATCGCTCACAATCCTACGTTGCTACAATCCAACGCACTAATTCGCATGAGATGATCTCACTGCTTCATCTCCACGGTAGTCATCATCCTCTCGGGCGCATTCTCTTCTCTCCCGCCTGCCAACTCATTGTCGTCCGTTGGCCACCAACCCAAACAGTCGATGGGATGTCTCCAATTTTTGTTTGTTCCTTAATCCATTCCTTAAAGTAATTCCAAGCATGCATCTCTCTCCACGCATTTTCGCAACATTTTCAGCGTTTTAGCTCCATTTACTGTGCGAGTGCCAATGTCTCTGATCCATATGCTATCGCGGCCGCTATGCACCGATGTGGAAATGTTTTCTGAAGGCAACATTCGCACGTCGCTATTCACGATCAAATAAAGTTTTTTTCTCCGAATCGCGTGTCATCGGAAGACTCATCTGTACATAAAGGAATAAGCAAATTGTTCTTCAGTCGATGACCACACATTGCACACACAGGACCTTATGATATATTTAATGGACACTCTCCGAGCTCTGAAATCTGTACACGCACCCACGTGAATGAGCAATACGTCAGTACTGCATTATGGCTTATTCATTCCCTGACACATGGTCTATATGCAATACATTTATCTGCATGATGGCTTTGGAGAAATGTGTACACTGTGTGTCGCATTATTGATGGATTTTTTAAAAATTGCTTTTTCCATTGTCCTCCTCATCGTAATAATGCCCAAGTCCTGAAATATGTGTAACTACTGTTTGGAGGTCCTGATTTAAAATAACAACCACGTTTATCTTAATGCACGTTAAATTGTCGTTTTTCATGGTCAAATCCAGTTTTCCCAAACCGCATTTTATAGAAAGACTCATGTGTACATAAGTGATTTGATCTTGGGTGACCATATACTATCACACACAATGACTGTTGGATATATTTAATGGGTATTCTACGAGTTCTAACATCTGTATACACACCCATATGAATTTCAAATAAGGACCACAGTAGCAACCCGTAAACATCCTTCGATCGGGATGAGACTTCACGGTTTTGCATAATTCAACAACAAGAAACACTCCCAATCATGAAACGTGTTCGAAAAATAAGGACCACCCTAATACACACGTATGCAGTCTGTGCAGACACTTGCCCTAATTGGCTGTTATACTTGCCCTTCCAAAGGCTCCCAATGTCAACTCATCATAGCTGGAAAAACAATGAGCTGCGATGACAACTCACTGTGATCCCATCACCTGCATCTGCTACACGAAATTAAAATGAATTCGAGCCTCGTGGGAATGCGGCCGTGGTGCAAGGGGTGAAGCACACTCGACTTGCGATCCAGAGGTCACCGGTTAGAACCGATTCTCCCAGCGCGGCAGTCGAGACAGTGGGGAACGTTTCCTAAATCCCCATCGCCGTTTTTCCCACGCAGCGGTACGAATGGATACGCCCCAGTCGGTCGGCAGATCGCGTGTGGTGGTGTAAAGTGTGGGTAACTCCCACTTTGTCGAATATGCCGAGGTAGAGTGGAAGAGTTGGTCAAATGCCCTCTAGAGGAGGCCCTTCCACCAGCATTGGTGTGAGCAACATAGGGACCATCACTGGTTTACATCTTTTAAGCCTTGTCCCCGATCAGTTATCTCTATGACACTGATAATTAAAAGATTGTTTCTCAAGCTCCAGTCTCCCCTGTCAACAATCGACCTTTCCACACTCTAAATTGGGGAACGATGAAAAGCGCATTTAATGGATACCGAAATCTGGATCAACGGGCTTTAAAAACACCGGCGCTTGAGAATCTCAAGTGTCCATACTCTTTGGTTCTATTCGGTAAAGTCACGTAGGTAAAAATAAAATAACAAAAAATCACGGCGTTTCGGCCACAACACAAGTGGCCTTCATCAGGTGAAGGTACTGGACTGTCCAGAGGACAGCGTTGGAGTGAAGACAGCAAGCCCAGGTCGCGTCCTTTAAGCTGTGTTGGAGGAAACAAAAAACGCCTTAACAAAGGAATTAGCATAAAATGTACTGGACCGGCACGGTGGGGGGGGGGGGGGGGGGGGGGGTTACATAATGTTGGTGTGAAGGTACATAAGCTGCTGTTAAAGTTTGGGATACCACTACTTGAATAAATATACTGTACCATTGAAAATTAGTTTAATGTTTGGTTTGATTTAGAACATCTTTCCAATGATTGCTTATTATGAAACCATCCTCTCGGTTGAAATTGTGTCTGTGTTTGTAAATCTGAAATGCCTCGTGGACAAATCTCTGATAAAAACCCGTGGGTTTGCAGAGAACCTTGGTATCGGAGAACACTATATCGTGATCACCCACAGCGTTGTAACAGTGATCAGCAACGGCAGAAGAATTCGTTCTGCCGTGTTTCAAATCTGATTTGTGCTCGTGAATTCGGTCAGAAATGTCGTTTCGTCTCCCCGATATAGCAGTCACCACAGGTGCAGCTCAATTTGTAAACCCCGGGGTACTGTAAGTCAGGAACGACATCCTTCACGGATGGGATCAGGTCACGGATTTTGTGTACTGTATTGAACCGGACCAGGATCTTGTGTTTGTTTAGAGAGAGAGAGAGAGAGAAACAGCTTGGCGGATGGTACGGTCAGAGTATCCGTTTCTCTTGAGGGCCAGGTGTACATGTTTTAATTCACTGGTCAGGTGGTGTTGGTCCGAAATGCAATGTGCCCTGTGGTATAACGTTTTGATGAGATAATTCTTTTGAGCTGGGTGGTGGTGGGAATCAGGTTTCAAGTAGGAAACTTTGTGGGTAGGTTTCCTGTAGACAGAATGCCCCAGTGAGCCATCAGGTCTCCTCTCAAACAGAACATCCAAGAATGGTAGCTTGCCATCTTTCTCCACTTTCATGGTGAATCTGATGGCGGGATGTCTAGAATTGATGTGGTGTAGGAAAAGGTTCAAAGCTGGGAGGCCATGTGGCCAAATGACGGAAGTGTCATCCACATATCTCTTCCACAGGGAAGGTCTGAGCATAGAAGTCTGGATGGCGTCTGATTCAAATTTCTCCATGAAAACATTGGCTATCACTGGTGATAAGGGATAACCCATGGGGGTACAACATGGACTAGACCCCGATACACCTGCGCTGATTAGACACTGCCTCACCAATACCTACTTTACTTGGAATGGCACCTTCTACAAACAAAATGAGGGTACCCCCATGGGTTCTCCCTTATCACCAGTGATAGCCAATGTTTTCATGGAGAAATTTGAATCAGACGCCATCCAGAATTCCACCCTCAGACCTTCCCTGTGGAAGAGATATGTAGATGACACTTTCGTCATTTGGCCACATGGCCTCCCAGCTTTGAACCTTTTCCTACACCACATCAATTCTAGACATCCCGCCATCAGATTCACCATGGAAGTGGAGAAAGATGGCAAGCTACCATTCTTGGATGTTCTGTTTGAGAGGAGACCTGATGGCTCACTGGGGCATTCTGTCTACAGGAAACCCACCCACACAGATTCTTACTTGAAACCTGATTCCCACCACCACCCAGCTCAAAAGAATTCTCTCATCAAAACGTTATACCACAGGGCACATTGCATTTCGGACCAACACCACCTGACCAGTGAATTAAAACATGTACACCTGGCCCTCAAGAGAAACGGATACTCTGACCGTACCATCCACCAAGCTGTTTATCCCTCCATGCAGAAACAACCACTTGATACTCCGGTCAAAACCCTCACACTACCATATATAGCAGGCGTTACTTCAAATATCTCCAAAATTCTAAACAAACACAAGATCCTGGTCCGGTTCAACACAGTACACAAAATCCGTGACCTGATCCCATCCGTGAAGGATGTCGTTCCTGACTTACAGTACCCCGGGGTTTACAAATTGAGCTGCACCTGTGGTTACTGCTATATCAGGGAGACGAAACGACATTTCTGACCGAATTCGCGAGCACAAATCAGATTTGAAACACGGCAGAACGAATTCTTCTGCCGTTGCTGATCACTGTTACAATGCTGTGGGTGATCACGATATAGTGTTCTCCGATACCAAGGTTCTCTGCAAACCCACGGGTTTTTATCAGAGATTTGTCCACGAGGCAATTCAGATTTACAAACACAGACACAATTTCAACCGAGAGGATGGTTTCAAATTAAGCCATCATTGGAAAGATGTTCTAAATCAAACCAAATATTAAACTAATTTTCAATGGTACAGTATATTTATTCAAGTAGTGGTATCCCAAACTTTCACAGCACCTTTTTTCCCTTCACACCAACATTATGTAAACTACCCCCCCCCTCCACCGTGCCGGTCCAGTACATTTTATGCTAATTCCTTTGTCAAGGCGTTTTTTTGTTTCCTCCCACACAGCTTAAAGGACGCGACCTGGGCTTGCTGTCTTCACTCCAACGCTGTCCTCTGGACAGTCCAGTCCCTTCACCTGATGAAGGCCACTTGTGTTGTGGCCGAAACGTCGTAATTTTTTGTTATTTTATTTTTACCTACGTGAC